CAAACAAGTTCAGGCATGCTCAACTGTCCGCACCGTCATTTTTACATCTCTTTGGACACCGTGGCTTTCGCCAAGTTTTTGTACGTGTGGATGAATCTCCATTGCCACATCTTGCAATAAAGAATCAAGTCCGCACTCCGGGCATGCAAACTCTTTGGCACGAATTTTTTGCAGGACGTCCATGCGGCATCTATTGTGCCTGTGTGCGCTTTGAGCTTTTCTCGGTTTCTTGTGACATCCTACCCCACCCCATCATCAGCGTAGCATCAAGAACCTCAGTAAGTTCACACGAACGTTAACATGCCCCACCCCACCCCACCCCACCCCATCATCAGCGTAGCATCAAGAACCTCAGCAAGTTCACACGAACGTTAACATGCCCCACCCCACACCACCCCACCCCATCATCAGCGTAGCATCAAGAACCTCAGCAAGTTCACACGAACGTTAACATGCCCCACCCCACCCCACCCCACCCCATCATCAACGTAGCATCAAGAACCTCAGCAAGTTCACACGAAACGTTCAATGCCCACCCCAACCAACCCACCCCATCATCAACGTAGCATCAAGAACATCCGACTCGAAAAAAAAGCGTTTCGCGACCTCAGTTTTCGGTCCGTAGGCATATACATACACATACATACACATACATACACATACATACACATACATACACATACATACACATACATACACATACATACACATACATACACATACCTACACATACATACACATACATACACATACATACACATACATACACATACATACACATACATACACATACATACACATACATACACATACATACACATACATACACATACATACACATACACATACACATACACATACACATACACATACACATACACATACACATACATACATACATAAACATACATATACATACATACATACATACATACATACATACATACATACATACATACATACATACATATACATGCATACATCCATACATATACATTCATACATCCATACATACATACATACATACACATACATACACATACATACACATACATACACATACATACACATATATACACATACACATACATACACATACATACACATACATACACATACATACACATACATACACATACATACACATACATACACATACATACACATACATACACATACATATACATGCCTATACGTACATATACGTACATATACATGCCTATACGTACATATACGTACATATACATACATATACATACATATAAATACATATACATACATATACATGCCTATACGTACATATACGTACATATACATACAAATACAGTCATATACATACATAAACATACATATACATACATATACATACATATACGTACATATACATACAAATACATACATATACATACATATACATACATATACATACATATACATACATATACATACATATACATACATATACATACATATACATACATATACATACAAATATACGTAGGCATACATAGGCATACATAAACATACATATACATACAAATAAACATAGGCATACATAGGCATACATAGGCATACATAGGCATACATAGACATACATAGACACGTACATACACACGTACATACACACGTACATACACACGTACATACACACGTACATACACACCTACATACACACCTACATACACACCTACATACACACGTACATACACACGTACATACACACGTACAGACACACGTACATACACACGTACAGACACACGTACATACACACGTACATACACACGTACTTACACACGTACTTACACACATACATACATACATACCTACCTACCTACATACATACATACATACATACATACATGCATACACAGACCATACACACACATACACACACATACACACATACGCACATACACACATACACACATACACACATACACACATACACACATACATACATACACACATGCACACACACAGACATACATACATGCATGCATGCATGCATGCATACATACATACATACATACATACATACTCTGGCCGTAGACCGTCAATTAACCCCCCAACAGGTTGCCTTATGTTTGATATTTGGTTGATTAAATAAGTTAAATCACGACTTTTCCTGATGAAACATTTTTTTTCAATAGCGAGTCTCAGAAAAGAGGGGTTGTTTTTCATGTAGCATATCTCATCAATTCTTGGGACAAAACAACATCTCAAATCATATTAGCCAACGACATTTAACGACAGAAGCGTCCTTCATGGCCTTCATGGCCATAAAGATGGCCTAAAAATGGCCTACGTCTGCCATGGCTTGGGCGGAGCATGAACGAGTTAGATCGTCGCAAGCAACATGGTTGGAGGGATGGGCGCTGGTTTATGATGGGATGGCACTGGAAAGTTTAAACAAATCATGTATGAAGTGAAGAAGATGAAGCAATGGCATAGTTTTTTAAGTCATGGAACTTCTATCTCTTCAAAAGTCTCTCAAAAATCAAGAAGTGAACGAAGTGAACACTGCGGGATCTCTTCATCTCTCAATGTGCCCTTTTTTGTGAACCGGTCGGCCTTGAGATCCTCACCGGGAAAATCTACAGGACAACTGTCGGACAACCAACCGTCGAATGTGTGACACATTTTTTAGCAGATTTTCCCTGAAACAAAACGACAAATCAGAGTTTTTCACCCAAAAAACATCCAAACATCGCACAGAACTCAGGATCTTAGCCTGTGCGAACAGTTCCTGTCCATTTCGAGTGCATCCTGAAGCCCATCTGGGTGGCTTCTGTTGTACCAGTCTCTTGGCTTCGGATGCCCCACATGATGTGCAGAGCGCCACCTGGTGGGAATTTTGATATCATTTTTTCGGGATTCGATTTTCGAGTCTCCAAGATTTTCGAATGAAGCTCTGGTCATCTACCACTGTGCGAAGCGTAAAAGCACCAAAATCTGAAGAACATCACCTATGAACTCACCATTCTCCAGAGCGCTTTGTCGGATTACCAGCGGGTATCCAGCATCAAAATTCATACTTAAGTCATCTTAAGTCCCTATTGTTGATGGTTATATCCCACCAATCCCATCCCCCAAGATTAAATGGATTTTACCATATGGGGACCATGCAATGGGGGTGTTTCATAACATGAACGGTGGATGGGAGTACTAGAAATACGACACCATTTCTTCGAAAAACTGTGTTTGATCGGTTCCTGATGCTACTCATCAGCATTATGTTGCTACCATTGATGGTTATACTGAAAAATTATGTTGCTCATATCACTACCAATATCTACTATTGTTGATGGTTATATATATATATTACTTATATTCTATTCCCTCGTTCTCCTGGCATAGCCTCTGAGAAAGTCTTTGGTGGAATCCCACATCCCCTGAAAAAAGGGGGTTTCCATAGTCATGGGGATACCCAATAGCTGGATGTTTTTTTTTCAGGGAAAATCCATAAATGGATGATGACTGAGGGTAGCCCTATGACTTAGGAACCCCCTTAAATCTGAATGTTTGATGGTTGCCTTCCCAATCCCAGCCTGTTCATGGATGTTCCCCAATTCTTCCCAGTTAAACATAGCTAAATTACCGATATTTTATTGGTTAAATCAAACATAATTAATCATAGTTAAACCATAGTTAAACAGTTAAACCATAGTTACACCATAGTTAATCCAGAGTTCAACCACTTATAACATCCACATGCGAAGAATTGGAGCGTCCAGGTTGCTATTCCGCCTGGATCGCTGGTCTACCGGTGATTCATGGGCCCAGGTGTCACCAGGTCGGACCCGAAAACCAACAGAAACCAAGCAATGGGGGGGTATACCCTTGATTGCTGTATAGTGTTCTAATTGTATATGATCTATATATAGTTATGAATATATATATATAATCTAATTATACGATCCTATAATCATGTTATACATATATATATATGATATGATATGTGTTCTAAAAAGTAGAAGATGGGGATGGGCCAGTTGTGTTTGTTGGTGTGTTAGCCATCTAGTTAGAGTCACCAGAAAGCCTCGTTCTTCTACTATGGTTGATGGCGAAACATGTTAGGTTCTACTATATGGGTTTGTGATGCGTGTGGACAATGGTGATACATAATATGCATGTACAATCATGCATACATATTGCTGATTCTTATCATAGAGTTATCCTACCTCAAAAAAAGGAAGGTATTCATATTATTGTTACCTCCGGTAATTTCTCACATGGCAAGCCGGAACATCACCATTTATAGATCGTTGTCCTATGAAAACAATTCCATTTATAGATCAGTGGATTTTCCGTCGCCAGAACAACTTTCTCCGTGATAAACATTTGCGTAACAGCGTAATGCTACCCAGTGGTGAATGGAGGGTTCGGGTATATTCCAAAAACTGGGGAGCTACGAATGGAGCTACGAATTGAGCTTCCGAACCACATGATAGTGTATATAATAGTCTATACTTATTATATTATACATCATATCCATTTCCAAAACAACATATCCATTAAATTATGCATTGAACAGAAAAACCTATCCACTAGAGTTCACTGACCTACGATTTGTGATACTTATATCCAGATTTATGATATACGCAATTATACATATACCAAATCCATATATATATATATATACATATATCCATAGATTCCATGGATCCATTAAATCTAAAAATTATATCCGTTATATCCGTATAAATTATGTATCCAATGAAGTTTGCGACCAGCTCCCCCCGCCAGTCCAAAGCCGCCCAATGGCTGCCGCGTGCGCCACCGCAAGCCCCGGGCCCCCCGGGCCCCGCGGGCCCCGCGGGCCCCGCGGGCTCTGTGGGTGCTGTGATAAGCCCCGCGGTGGTGAGTCCTGCACGAAGCTGGGACCGTGAATCTGTGAGGTATAGCATGCTATAACTGTTACCATGGGGGGCTGATAGGAATTATGGACCAGAAAAATGATTGGAATGTATTGGAATTGTTCCCATTGGGGGGGTGATAGGAATTATTGAGTAATTTTTGGAATTCTATTGGAATTATTGATCTGATCTACCAATAATTAGGTTTGATCGCTGTTTTTGGTCGCGGTTCACTGGCTGTCACAGCTCGTAGACCACCTTTCTGGGGATACAGCCTGGGCTCGTTCTTTGAAGTTTGATACAAGGCACTGAGGAATGGGAACTGCCGCGCGTTAGGTGATACACCCGACAAACTTCGAGAAGATTGAGGGAAGTGGGATAACATCAATTGTGGGTTTAAGCTAACGTTGTTAAGATGCAAATTTCTCAATAGTTCATGGTCGCTGCAGGGCTTAGCTCGTCGGATCCCACATGATCCTTTCAACCTCTAGCAGAGAGTAAGTGTGAGATGATCCTCATTTCATATCCCTCATGAAAAGCCCAAGAATCAGATTATATGTAGGTATCATGTTGATATGTATCTGTAACCATATAACCATATAACCTCATTCTACACCCAACTGCCAACTCGTGGCCAACTCGTGGCTGAGGTGCCCCCATCCTTGCGCCCGTCGCCATCCCAGCCATCCCAGCCCCTGCCATCCCTGCCATCCCAGCGATCTCAGCGATCTCAGCGATCCGCGGAGCCACGGGGGCCACGCCCAAAATCATCCCTGGTCGGAAGCGGCCGGCGGAGAACCTGGCGCCTCCCAAGGCGCCTGTGGTGAGCCGTGCCAAGGTCCACGCCCACGGCGGACACGGTCACGTGGTGGGCGCGGTGCCTAAAGCGCGGGGGGTGCCGTTGCAAAATGGGATGCACAATGGATGGAAGATGTGGAAACTTGGGAAAAATGCTGGATGGCCCGGGTTTTTTTGAAGGTTTTGTTGGACTTTTAGAGGAAACATATCTTCACATTTTGTTTTGGGTGATGATATGTGAGAAAGCTTCACCCAGAAAATCCCAAGAGACAAACCTTGCCCCCTTTGTACTAGCAGCAAGTCGCCAAATGTGACTTGGCATTATCAGGGTCAGCTGGATCTTGATGCTAATAGGGTAAACCCAGCCAGCACAATAAACCCGATCCCATTTCCACCCATTTGCCCAATCTTACCATTTGGGGTTATAAGAAGACGGTCTTTTTATTCAAAAAAGATAAACGCAAAGTCAAACGATCAACAACTGGTTTACTATTGGGACAATACCTGCTGCATTTGTATTCGCAGCCCGGCGTTGGTATATGCCGTGGCTATACGTGCCATGGTCATAAGTGCCGCTATTTGAGGTATCCTCAGCTGGGTCAGTCCACTCACAGATTTCAGTGATGCAACCATCAGGCTATATTAGGTTGGGCCACACAGAATTAGGTTTCATCAAAACATGGCATGGTTAACAATCCCAACAGAATGTGGATATTCTTTACATGTTCCAACATGTATTACATGACATGTATATGCAGTATTTCATAAAACTAGCTTTCATCCCAAGTTTTCGATGTTCGGACGATCTGTCTTTTCTTTTGGGACCTTACAGGGCCCTTGTCCTGTCGGGTTCTCTAAATCAGTCGATCTCAGGACGAACGGTTGCCTGGGACGGGAGATGGCACACACCCAGGCGCCTGGCCGGTTTCAACGGTGTCGATCATGCAGACATCGTTTCATCAAGAAACTTGAGTCGTTTCAACCCTTCGATCTAAAAAATATGGTGCAATTGTCAGGAAAACCCAGGCTACCCATGAAATAATCCATGGAAAATTGTGCGAAGATGATGATGAAGCAGTAGGCCCCCTCCTGAAAAATCCAAAAACTTCAATCCAAAAATTGAGTTGTGCAATTGTCAGCAAAAAAACATGAAAAGGGGACCCGCAAGAAATGTTCGAACATTTTCATGTTCGGAACATGATTTTTGCAGTAGCTTTGGGGCCTAAAATAGGGCAAAAATCCAAGGACGTGGATGGTTACAGCTGGGAGGATGGATTGGGACATCCTAAGCCATCCCATTGGCAGCTGTCCGACTTGTGTATGAATTCTGCCAGCAACAAAACTGGTTATGGCATGTTATGGCTGCGTATTTTATGATTCTTCGTCCATAATTGATGATCCATAGCGTATACCATGGAATCCCAAGGGGGACAGTGTGCTCGTTGCTCAAAATCAGCGGCATTTTGTTGCAGTAGCTCAGTAGCTCAAATGAGATTTGGACAAGCCATGCTGGTTGGTGGTTTGGAACATGAATTTTATTTTCCCATATCTTGGGAATGCCATCATCCCAACTGACTTTCTTCAGAGGGGTAGTTTTACCACCAACCAGCATGGCATTTTGGTGCATTCTTTAAGTCCACAGGTAAAGCGGGAAAAGCCGGCTCAGCAACTCCCAGAATTTGATCGCATTGTCTAAAAGTCAAGGATCCTTATTCCATCTTCCTATAAACTGTCCATGGTTCATCATCATGTTTGCCAAGATAACATGTTTCTAAATAGCAGATGGAACTGGAAGGAATCGGTCAACTCTGTCAGGACTTTTGGAGTGGAGACGCCATGGAAGAATTGGATGCTGAGAATATGGGTCTCTACGACACTGGGCCATGGATCATAGGTCCACAGGGTGAGCAAGGTGCCCCAAAACGGAATCGCAAAGTTAGCTGAATTAAGTAGAATAACTACGGGGTTTATGGTGATTATAACATATTATAACTATAGTTGGATTGATAATTATAAAATAACTAGGCGGCACAACCTTGTAGATAATGGTGACGTTGCTAGCTACAGCGCATTCTTAGTTTTTCCAAGTTTTTTGCTGGTCAAATATTTCAAAATCCCTTCCCCAAAATTAAGAGATCCAATGCTAAAATTTTCATCACATTTCAATCTTCCATTTTTCTATCTTTGGCCGAGGGTTATTTCCCCGGGAAAATCATGGCTTGTCCCGCGGGGTACCGTCTGCTAGTCATGGCAAGTGGACATCCCCTCTGGCCCTATGGCCCTGGACGTTTCAATGGGAAAATCTCTGAAATAAATGGTGGATTCCCTGAGGGCAAAACATCCGATTCATTGTTGGTTCATATATTCTGGGTAAATTTCATCACGACCTCACTGCGACCTCACTGGAAATCATGGTTTTCGTAAGGGAAATCATCCCCAAATGGCCTTATTTCAGGTTAGTGAAATATTATAATTTACCCATATATATATAAATATATATATATATATCCATTAATATCCCAGTATCAAACCATTAACTAGGTCAATCGGCTGGGCAGAAACTAATCCTAACTCGTCTTTTGGTAGCTTCATGGGATTCTCTACGTTCACCAGCTAAGAATTCGTTATTTTGCAGGCTACTCGTATCTAAGATTGGCCATGTTAATATCGAATTCATATCTCATTCATATGGGTATGGGTCAATACCTATAGATTCTATAGATACATTTTTAGTGGGCTATAGTCATCCATTTTTAGTGGGTTATTCACATCCATAAATCCCAGCTATGACTTGGGGTTCACAAAAGGTACCAGGGTTTTGACCCATCCCCATATCTGGGGTAATCAGCAACCCCAGCGATGGATTGGTTTAAGGGAAAATTTACAGGACAGCCCCATGATCTTCATGGGAAGGTAACTCTGGTTTCCGGTTAAGATTTTCCCACCAAAACCAATCCATTGACCCACCGATAGGCTAACATTCCATGGTTTTTTCAGGAAGATCAACTGTGGAACGACTTTGGTCTCGACGGCGCGGCAGCCGAGGCGGAATGTTCGGGACAACACGGGTCGGGTGGTTTTTTTTTGGTGATAACATATCCACATAAGAAAACTCTTCAGAAAATTACCCTCTGGTTATGTCAAAATAGCTATTGAAAATGGCCATAGAAATAGTGGATTTTCCCATAACACATGGTGATTTTCCATAGTTATGTTAGTTTACCAGAGGGTCGGATTCTTCAAAGCATCATTTTTACAAGGGAACTCGACCAAACGATTACAGTTTTTGACATCCGCAGATCTGCATTTTCACTGCAAAAATCCTGGTGATTTTCCCTAGAGATTTCAATCCGATCGGTTGGCAATCGGTGAAGCAACAGCTTCGTTCACCAAGCAAAAACACATAGGAAGGATGGGTTGGGTTGAGCAAACGATTGCATAATTCATCATCAATTTTGTGTCAAAGCTATTAGCCTATGATGTTTGTAAAGAAGCTAAAAAACATTAAGTTCTAGAGCTATCTAGAACTACTAACCAAAGTTAGGCAAGATCAAACTTACTTCGAAAATACATTTAGTTTATCCATGTTTATGCATCGAGTTCAAGCCGCTTGATCCAACGGGTGCGGCGGGAAAGGTGAGGCATACCTATCATACTCAAGAGATGTACATGATGTACATGATGTACTAATTAGGTTAACTACTGTATATTAATAATATCTAATCATTAATCCATTAATGCTGTTTTAAAATAATGTGTGTATATGTAAATATATATATATCCCAATGATTTATTATGTTTGCTTCACCTGTTTAACATAAGCTTGGAAGAATATCTTGCAGCGATAATTTTAAAGGCCATATTTCACAACATCGGGGAATTACTAACTGGATATACAAATTAACATCTGGGCAAATTATAGTGAGCTCACAGTGGCCTCACTGGAATCATGGTTAGTAAGGGGAATCATTCCCATAGCTGTCCTAACATTTCAGGTTCGTGAACTATTACAGTATCATTGACCTAGGTAACATGTAATCCAAAAGAAAGTTGTTGATTGTAGCGTCTGTACTGCAGTTATTTGTTGGACTTCTTGTCAAACTTCTTGTTGTTGGAAGACGATGGTGATGATTTCCGAAATCGACAAACGTGCGCCATGCTTCAATCACTTGATGTATGGTTCCATATGGTTCCTTTAATTCGTTTTCGAGGCAAAATCGAGGTGTGTGGCAGGCGAGCACAGATATCATCATCCTGTTCACATTCACAGATTCACAGTCATCAACGTACTCATCATTTTATGCATCATTTTTTGGTATCATGGCATGCATCATTGTTTTCTTTCGTAATCTTATGCATCATCTTTTGTTTTGTGTTTATCATGTTATGCATAATGTTATGCATCATCTTATTTATCATCTTAAGCATCATCTTACGTCATCTTATTTCTCATTTATATGTGGTTTCGTCATTTTTATGCATTATCTTGTTCATTATTTTATGCATCATCTCATTTATCTTATGTGTTATCGTATTCATCATCTTATATATTTATAAAGTCATCATCTTATTAATCATCTTATTCATCGTCTTATTTATATCACTTGTCTTATTCATCAGCGTATTCATTATCTTTTGCACAATCATATTTATTACCATCATCTTCATATTGACCATTTTTGCCATATGTTTTTTGACTATTGAACTTCATCTTAATAATTTTCTTATGTTATTTCTTCTTCTTGACCATCATCTTTATCTTCAACATTCTCATCATTTATTGTTGAACATGCTTCATTAATCATCATCATCATCATCATCATCATCAAAGTGATTAAAGTGATCAAAATGATCAAAGTGATCAAAGTGATCATGATTATCGCCATGATCATATTATGTTTTTGATATGTATTTGTTCGGAGATGTGTTCTTCCTTTGGTGCCACGTGCATATTTGAACACACAATCCAATGGGGAACCACATCACTGCGAGGTATGTGGCAGGGGCAGACTTTCGTAAGTGGCAGGCACAGTACATTTGGCGTGGACGTAGAGAAATCCTGTGGACATCGAGAATAGGTCTTGCATGATCTTGTATGGAGATCTTGCAAAGATCATTTCAACAGGAGATCTTTGAAAGGTATTGCAAAGAGGTACTTTGATTTATCTTGTCAGCAGACTGCCAACGAAGAGATCAGAAAAAAGTGGTCGTTACATCTCAGAGGGAAACTTGCAACGAGCAATGACTTCAAGATTCAAGACCTTGTCTTACAATTGGTTTATGGGGAAATGTAGTGGAAACCTTTTTGATGGCAGAATCCGTGGTTTCCTGTAAATTTGCCCAGGAACCAATCTAATGATCCCAATAAATCGCCAAATCAGTGGCTTGTTGAAGTTGATTTGGTCGGTGGTTTTGAATATATGTAACTTTCAAACATATTTGGAATGATGATCCAATTTACAAAATCATTTTTTTCAGGGCGTGGCTTAACCACCGAGCAAGTGACTATAGATTCATGTTCATATTTCTGTGTATAAATATTCTCATAATGAGGCTTTGGGCCCCGGTTGGAAACAATAAACCCAGTGACAAGAAGGTGACCAATTCTTCTTGCTTTGCAAACCCAATCTATCCCGTTCCCAATTTTCATGGCCTGAAACTATCAAATTTCAGTCATTTTCTAGCGCTTTACAAAGAAACTATCAAAATCCAGTCATTTTTCAGTGTTCACGGATAATTCCTAGATAAATATCGGCAAGTTTGTTGGTCAACTCCTTATACACTTGGTGCGCGGTGAATCTCCCAATGTTTGTAGGTTTGGACCCCCAGATTTTTTTTACCCACAATTTCTACCCAAACCAGATGGTCAAAAACGTAGATGATCCACCAGTTTCTTGCTAAATTTGTCGTAACACACCAAGATGATCCTAGATTCAGAGGTTTCGTCATGAGGGTACCCCCAAATGGATGATTTACAATGGAAATTCATGGAAATTCCCAATCTCAAAACAGAAAGCTCCAGCTGTCCTCGTCCAGATGGAGCCAACGATGGACCCTTGGAGTTTCCCTCAGGCGAAACTTCGGCGGCCGCGGTAGTGATATACAGATATTTACAGAACATTTGGTTATAGACAGTTCGATCAAAACATCGAAAAACTCGTGGTTTGGAATAGTTTGGAAAGTGTTTGAAGATCTGACATTTGAAACTCACGCATTCGCCAGTTTGTCTTGAGATGCGAGGTATAAATTTATCCTTCAGTATCAAAGTGGAGTAGCATCAATCCATATCAAGCCATGTCAACTTCAGCAAGACTCAAACTTTTAGACCTCCAAAAAGTTACTCTCGAGGTAAGCCCAAATTCAAGGTATATTATTAATGTTAGTAAAGCAATAGTAAAGCATAGTATAGCCCAAACGTACAATTTTTATGGCTGGGATTGAAACCATGAATCCATATGGGTGGTTTTCCTCTTTTGCACTTATGTCTGGATGGGTCAAAACCTAAATCTTCTTACCATATGTATATATATATATATATATATGAGGGGACATGGCGCAGAGGCTTTGTCAAGCCCATTGCCAGGAAAACAAACTAAAGGTTGCGGAGTCTCCGCTACTCACTGCACGCAGAGGGGGGCTGACGGTGTATGCAACACCCTGGTCCCAGAAACGGGGCCGCCATTTTGGAAGCCTTTCCTTCTTCCAGCAATATTGCGGCCCCATTTTTGGGGCTGGTTTTTGGCCCCATTTTTGGGACCATGAAAGAGCAAACAGGAGCTGCTCGACGGTCCTGACGGCCCGGATTTCGTCCATTTGCTTGCGCCAGCCTTCCTTCTGCAATGCAAGCCGCCATGGACACACACACACAGATCCATATAGTATTGTAAAGATATATATATATATATATATTCTTATTATTGTTATTATTATTTTTATTCTCATATATTACTATATATTTTTTACTATATATTTTTGTATATTATTTTTTCTTATTGTTGTTATTACTATATACTCTACATTTGGGGGCCCATCAGCATCCATAAATCCCACCATTCACCAGCAAAAACCTATGAACTTACCATCTTTGGGGCCCATGATGCCATAAATTGCCATAAATCCCAACAGTTGATCCGGGTCTCCAGGTCCCACCTGCTGCGCCTGCGCCTGCTGCTCCGCCTGCCCGGGGCGTGCTGATCCGCCCTGCGCGGCGACCGGAGGCGCCCGTGACGGCCGGCAACGCAGCGCCCGTGACGGAAGTGGAGGACGAGGCGGTCGGGTCAGGGGTCACCAGGGGTCACCATGGAGACCAACGCAGTTAATCGGTGCATTTGGGCTTGTTGATGATATTTGGTTGCTTAATTGGAACTATGGTAGTCAGCCACATAGGGATATAAAAGAGAGAGAGAGAGAGTGTGAGAGTGAGTGAGAGAGTGTTTTTACGGACCACGCCCTAGCTCATCCCCTGAACTGCAGGGTGGGGTAGTGGCCCGCCTGTCCGCCTAGTGTCGCACCTGGGTATTGAACCCGGGTCTGACGCATGAGGGATGCGTCTTACCCACTAGACCATACCGGCCCTCTTAGGGATACAATATGATAAGATAATATATATGGTATAATGGCCTATCTGTGGGTATATCAGCAACTTATGAATGGAACATGTGGAACTGCAGTTTGAAGTGGTTGGAATCTGTTGGAAGTACGCTGATTTTCTAACGTTTATAAGGTGGGATATTCCCTCTTTGAATTTCTATGGGCCCCATGGCCCCCATGGCCTTACCTAAATCGGAGGGAGAAAATCATCCCCAAATCTGGCTAGGGAGATATAACATTGATATGGGGCACGTATCATCTATTTTGATCTGTCCACTACGATTATAGATGATCTCCATTGACATATCCTGGTATTTCATACTACTGCATGGCATATCTAGGGACATATCTGGGAAATACCATAATTTCCCCAGATATCATGGTATTTCACTATATAATTGGCTGGTCTTTTGTTGAAAATTAACGGGGATATTTCATGGGATATGTAACCATAGCTATATGGCTGTGTCTATGTCATGGGAAGAGAATGAAATGCATCCCTTTTGAGTCAAACCCATTTCAAGAAAACAACTAGGAACAACTCACTAGCCATGTGTGTTGTAATCCCCCATTGGGGTATTCAACTCCCAATATTGAGTCAGCAAAAGTAGGCGTCCTAGGGGTCCCCATTTCGATTTTCTAAATTCACTCTTTTTGATGCTGATTTCCTTAGTCTTATTGGTTAAATCTCCATGTTTCGAAATCCACATATGAAAAAATCACAACTTACCTCTTGAGTATATCAACTATACCACCACACTTCTTGAGTATATCGTGTGTTTCTTATGCCCACCTCAGTTCTGGTTTGAATCCCCCAAAGAAATCTACTCTTCAACCCCTTTTTCGATGGTAAAAGACGGCAGGGTTTCCAGTGACCCCTGGCGAAGGTTGACCCGGCCCTGGCCGCCGTGCTGGAGCTGGGGCTTTCTGAGGAGCCGGCTCCGGCAGAGGCGGAGCTCTCGGAGGCGGGTGGTTTTTATGACACTTATGACATTTCTTGTCTTTCTTTTCCCAACATTCAACGACCTCTTTTGCACTTATGTTTGGATGGGTCAAAACCTATATCTTCTTACCATATATATATATATGTATAATTATATATTTTACATTTGGGGGCCCATCAGCATCCATAAATCCCATCATTCACCAGCAAAAACCTATGAACTTACCATCTTTGGGGCCCATGATGCCATAAATTGCCATAAATCTCAACAGTTGATCCGGGTCTCCAGGTCCCACCTGCTGCGCCTGCGCCTGCTGCTCCGCCTGCCCGGGGCGTGCTGATCCGCCCTGCGCGGCGGCCGGAGGCGCCCGTGACGGCCGGCAACGCAGCGCCCGTGACGGAAGTGGAGGACGAGGCGGTCGGGTCAGGGGTCACCAGGGGTCACCATGGAGACCAACGCAGTTAATCGGTGCATTTGGGCTTGTTGATGATATTTGGTTGCTTAATTGGAACTATGGTAGTCAGCCACATAGGGATATAAAAGAGAGAGAGAGAGAGAGAGAGTGAGAGTGAGTGAGAGAGTGTTTTTACGGACCACGCCCTAGCTCATCCCCTGAACTGCAGGGTGGGGTAGTGGCCCGCCTGTCCGCCTAGTGTCGCACCTGGGTATTGAACCCGGGTCTGACGCATGAGGGATGCGTCTTACCCACTAGACCATACCGGCCCTCTTAGGGATACAATATGATAAGATAATATATATGGTATAATGGCCTATCTGTGGGTATATCAGCAACTTATGAATGGAACATGTGGAACTGCAGTTTGAAGTGGTTGGAATCTGTTGGAAGTACGCTGATTTTCTAACGTTTATAAGGTGGGATATTCCCTCTTTGAATTTCTATGGGCCCCATGGCCCCCATGGCCTTACCTAAATCGGAGGGAGAAAATCATCCCCAAATCTGGCTAGGGAGATATAACATTGATATGGGGCACGTATCATCTATTTTGATCTGTCCACTACGATTATAGATGATCTCCATTGACATATCCTGGTATTTCATACTACTGCATGGCATATCTAGGGACATATCTGGGAAATACCATAATTTCCCCAGATATCATGGTATTTCACTATATAATTGGCTGGTCTTTTGTTGAAAATTAACGGGGATATTTCATGGATATGTAACTGTAGCTATATGGCTGTGTCTATGTCATGGGAAGAGAATGAAATGCATCCCTTTTGAGTCAACCCCATTTCAAGAAAACAACTAGGAAAAACTCACTAGCCATGTGTGTTGTAATCCCCCATTGGGGTATTCAACTCCCAATATTGAGTCAGCAAAAGTAGGCGTCGTAGGGGTCCCCAAATCTCCATGTTTGGAAATCCACATATGAAAAATTCAATGGTTATTTGTCAATGTTTCATACCAATTTTATGTGTGGTGATGATCCGATTTGATTCATATTTTTCGAATGGATGGGTCAACCATCAGTCAGTTTATATATGTTTTTCCAACTTACTTCTTGAGTATATCAATTATATCACCACACTTCTTGAGTATATCGTGTGTTTTTTTATGCCCACCTCAGTTCTGGTTTGAATCCCCCCAAAAAACCTAGAATTGGATCCTTAGGATAGACTCTCACATTCTCTTCAACCTCTTTTTTCGATGGTCAAAGACGGCAGGGTTTCCAGTGATCCCTGGCGAAGGTCGACCCAGCCCTGGCCGCCGTGCTGGGGCTGGGGCTTTCTGAGGAGCCGGCGGAGGCGGCTCCGGCGGAGGCGGAGCTCTCGGAGGCGGAGGAACAGCTCTTTCCGGAGGCCCGGGCTCGGCCATATGCCATGGAGGAGCTCTAAAGCAACGGAATTAGTGGATGAATCCTCTCCAGCTGGAGAAAAAACAAATTTAGTTTTTTGCGAAAATGACGAAATAAACAGCAAAAGATGACCGTTGACCTTGTGGATTATCAAAGATTGACCATAACTTCCTATAAGTTTAGCAATTATAGCAACCTTATTTTGACAAGAATTTGTCCTCGGAATTTGCGTATTGGGGGATGAGATTCACATATTTTTCCTCGTCAAATCCTGGTTTTGTCAAGTGAAATTCCCAATTTTTGCTGCATCCCCACAAGGTGGTGTGCCATAAAACCTGTGAAACAACACATTTCATCACCATAAACCCAACAGTGCTTAATTCCGCGAATTAGCTAACTGTATCCTCATTTATTCTAGTTATCCTCTAGTTCTCCTAAACCAGGTGTTATTCTAAGTTCATTCACCCAACTTAACAGCAAAAATCATCCACAAATTTCATAGTAATCTTCGAATTCCCCTAAAAATCCACAATTTTCCCCAGGAAAATCACTATTTTTCCACGGAAAATTCTTCATTTTTCCCTGGGTTCAACGGTGACGGAGTCCAGGGTGACCCGGTGGCCAAGACCTCCGTGGCATCGTCCATGGACTATGTGGCTGTCCGGGAGGACGCCACGACCAAGGCGGAGGCCGCGGTGAACGTGGGTCTGGCGTGCCTGGCGGATGTGAAATATCTGCGGCGGAACTTCAGGCGGGGGATGAATTGATGAGAAGTTTGATGATTATAATGAGAATATATGAGAATATCATTGAACATAGTAATACTAGTAATTAATAATAATAACAATACTTCTATATACATATAATAAGAATAAAAATAATAATGATGATAATAACATTAATATAGTAATGTAATGATATAATAATGAAAAATAGTTGATGAGTTTGATGAATAGTTGTTGATGTTAGTGATTTATTATTCATATTAGTTGATAATAATTGATGTTCGTTGATCATGATAAACACATGGCAACTTTGGTGGGTGACCAGTAGCCACCCCTTCAAAAAGGGGATGAGGCGTCACTGGGTAAGGAATTTCTATTGAAGCAATAAGTGCTAGAACTTCAACGACCATGCTGGATTTGCTATCACTTATTTCACTTCACCTTATTTTCTATTTCAGCCCCCCAGTTATAAGTTGATTTATAAACCCAATTCACTAGACTGTAGTAATATAAAATAACACGCAGTAAGTGGGTCGATTTTCTGATTTGCTATGAACATACATGAAAAGAAACATGCTGGATGCAATGGTTTTTCTTGAGAATTTTGATGAACCATACGAGGTGGTGCGCGGGTTAAGTGAGGTGAACGTTGGTGATGTGCACCCCAGTTGGTGAGATTGGAATGTTGGATGTTGATGAGTGAATTCACAGGGGAGTCAATAAAGAGGAAGACCGAATGTACAACACTACTGGGATGTTAACCATGAGAATTTTGATTTTCAGCAGATTTGACCTGTTTAAAACCAGGAAACAAAGCGGAATAAGCTCGGGTGGATATGGGGTCTGAGGAGATGTGTTACCATCACAAAATGAAATTTATAAAACTGGAGTAAATCCAGAAGTTGTGGACTGTTATTCTTAAACACATAGTGCAACGAATAGGTTCATCTAACCATCAATTGGGGTTAAAAACAAGCAATTTAATGATGGTAAGGTATTGGCGGTATTGGTTAAGATGTAACATCATTACCAACTGGTAATTAAACAAACCATCATCATCATGACCAATTTATTATCCAATTGGATACGATTGGTTTTCCAAGTAACATATGATACGATGGGATGGGCTAATCATCAACCAGAGGGAGTTGACCATGGGCCAATACCACGGGAGGGTTGAGTGATAACACCACAAAACCATCAATGCGGATGTATAAACCATATTAAAACATGAGTATCTTCCACGTGATGTAACCATGAAACATCATCAAACCTAGGAATTTGACCAATTTTTTTACTGGGGGTTTTAGGGTTTAGGGTTACCAACTATATCATCAGTTAGCACTAGAAAAATCGAGTGAATGGATTTCACCATCAAAAACATGAGGATTGGGATGTTCAGCGGGGTGGCGGGGTGTTCAGCGATGAATAGCATCTTGGGGTATCAATAAAAAGCTTTTATGGGGGTACCATGGGATATACAGCACTATGAGATATTCAAGGGGGTGTCCTTGAAAATTGGATCATGTGGGTAAAAGAATTTCATAAACCATCCCCGAGTCATCACCATTTTTATAGGTGGTATGCTTACCATTCCCAAATGGGTGGTTTATGACATTGTTTTACCCACATTACCCATACATAGCCTCTGGTAATTTGTTACGTAGCTATTGAACATGGCCCATAGAAATAGTTGATTTACCTTTGACAAATTGTGATTTTCCATATAAATCACCATTTTCCCACGGTTTTCCCTTGGTTTTCCTATTAAAAGGTGATTTTCCATAGCTTCTCTGGTATGTTTACCCGGCCGGGTAACCATGGGAATCCAATGACCAAACATGGGAATCTCCAGCATGGCCTAACTTTAAACACTGGTTGGTGGTTTGGAACCATGGAATTTTGGTGACTTTCCATTCAGTTGGGAATGGAACATCATCCCAACTGACGATTCGTCCATCATTTTTCAGAGGGGTGGCGAAAAACCACCAACCAGATAATTAATCATCATTTACATTCATTTACCATTCATTTACCATCATTAATCACACAAAACAGATTGAACCAGTCTTTTTGGGCGATGTTTTTCAACGACAAAACTACGGCACAAGCCTCGAGGAAACGGCCACCCTGTGGTTTTGCCTTCGTTCCGGATCCCAGAAACGATCTGCACAGCGTGTGCCGACGCTGTCTGTGGCTTGACGCCGATTCCGTATGTTGAAATGGCCGGGCCAAGGAAAACCTTTCCGGAGGTTGTTTAAAATATCAGTTCGTATATTAAAAAAGCCGTATATTTAGATGTATACTTGTCATAGGGATAGCATCGGCAATTTGAATACACACGAAAAAATGTACTGTAGAAAACGGTACGTTCAATAGTTCAGATGTACAGAACAAGACATTTTTTCTACAAATTGTTACATGTGTATACATTTAGATATATGCATTCATTCATTGGTTCCTTCCTTCCTTCGTTCATTCATTCATGCATTACATGTACAATATATTGTGTGTATATTTGCATAATTGTGTATACATATATATATACATATATATATACATATACATACATATATATATATACATATATATATACATATACATACATATATATATACATATACATACATATATATACACATAACTATAACTATAACTATAACTACAACTATAACTATAACTGTTTAACTATAGTGACTATAACTAGCTAACAGACTATATATGTATATATATATATAATATCATGACCCATCTATCTATATCTCCATTTTCCCAGGTGTGTCAGCAGCCCCTTTGGCACCTGCACTGCGCCGGTGCCCATGGAGCCCATGGAGCCCATGGAGCCCATTGAGCCCATGGAGGAGGCGCACGTCGCGGCGGCCATCGACATGGACGCCGAGATGGCCAAGCTGCTGGCGGAGATCAATTCGGTGGCCGAGCCGTCGCTTCGTCGAAAACCAGAAAGAATTCGGGTGGGTGTTTTTGAATGGAAAAATCAGATATAAATTGATATAAAATGTATATTATATAGTATATCTAGAGTATATCTATATAGTGGGTTTATGAACCAACTTAAGGTTCAGGGGCACCACTTTGTAGCTTTCTTCAGTTTCACCTGGTCAGGACCCCCGACATGCCGCTGCATCCGCGCGTGACCGTGACAGCACCGTTGAATGGCACCCTGCTGTGAGAGATCTCGGGGCGAAACATGTTGAACTTCCCTCACTGTTGGGTGTTTGAAATGGATCCTGAGGCAATTGTCCTTTTGATCAATGGCCATTCCAGGATCCTAAATGGTAATTACCTACCATATATAAGGCCTATATAAGGTATGTAAGGGGATATGCCCCACAATTCATATGGCCAGATATGGTACCCTCTGGTAAACTAACATAACTATGGAAAATCACCATTTTTAATGGAGAAATCCACTATAAATAGCCATTTTCAATAGCTATGTAACAAATTACCAGAGGGTACGTTTACGTACCTCCATCCGTTCGGATCCTGGAGATCTCCCATCAATATGGGTCTGGTCACATAGTCTATACTACCACGGCCATTTTGATAGGGAACAAGTTTTCCATTATTGATCGGTTCTAATCCATTAGAATTGGGGCTATCCCAAACTCTTACGCAATAAATGGAACAGATGAAGGTCAAGCGTAAGATGTTTCGAAAACATGGCCGTGGATCATGCAACATAGATGTTTTAGAATGGATCTAGATCAAACAAAACATGGATGGCGTCGCACACTGACAAAGATTTGACCCCGAATTAGCCCATGTTCGCCCCTCTGATTTCGTAAGTCCAAAGTTCGCTGCTGTAGCTCGGCAGCGGTTTCCGCTTTCGGCAGCCCAGTTCACCTGGCATGGGCCGCCTTGAGCCTTGATTTAAGACAGTGACACGCCTGGAAGTGCCGAAACGTGGCGAGGAACGTGCCGATGGTTGCACTGAGGAAATCCATCAAAAATTCCACGTGTGCCCCAAAGATTTCCATGGAGATGATGTGGGCAATCTCGAAGTCCCCCCACTGATGAGCCATGGGTCCAAATCAGGAGATAACGCGCAAACCAATGTGGGAACAGTTGGTATATTTAAGGGCATGTTGAAGATGAAAATTAGTGTTAGAATCAGCTTGATTCAATTTTGGGGTGCAAAAGCTGGTATTTGGCATTTGGGCTATGTGCCATTTTCATCTATTTCAGATGGACACTTTCATCATTACTATTTACTAATCATGTTGTTTTCTTGCACAAAGCCTCACATTGTTGCATGCCTAATTTTTTGTTCACACATCTAATTATTCTAATTGACTAAATTGAGTGTGATTGAGTGTGACAGATCAGGAAAGTCATGTGACAGAAATCAGCTAAATTGAGTCACTTGACTTTCCTGATCTTCATCCAATCGAAGCGTAGGACGATCCACTTTTTTGGACCTGAAACACCACTGCCATGAGGGTCTTCCCAATGAGATTCGTGTTTGATGTATGAAGACACTTGAAGATATGGTTATAATATGCTTACTAAACCATGATATATATATAATATATATATATATATCTATATATATACCCTCTGGTTATTTAACATAGCCATGGAAAGATCCACCATTTTTAATAGGTACATCATCTATAAAAGGGTCATTTTCCAGTTTGCTATGTATATATATATGGCTCACCGAGTTACAACATAATGGGTTTTTGTTCACCCAGCTATCTAACCAAGACCACTGAGAATCCTGGGATGTTGTTGGGTCCTGATGAAAAATTCATGGTCGATTTTTGTCATCGGGGAGCTATCTATCCCGTCATACTATGGAGCCAGAAGGCTTATCAGTAAGTTGCATATGACTCATATGACAACTTCTATGACTCATGTTTTTTCGTATTGATTATTTGTCACAGGCTAACTATCCCAAAAGTAAAGCCTTCTGGTCATCTTCTTTCAGCGTCTCGTAAGCGTCCTCTTGTGAGGATTATAGTTACATCACTTGAGAAAGTATTTGGTAGAGATTATATCCGACAATAGTTGGGTGATGTGAATTTTCGGGACATTCACACCCGGCCACCCCCTGTTCAGGTTAGTGAGCTATTGTCTTACTGGTGCGTTTAACGCAGGGAATTTTCGGGGATCCATTGGCTAACGATCAACAATCATCCCAGCAACCCCCAGCAACCCATCCATTCACTACGGACTTAGCACCAGTAGGTCATCATCAACTTCCCCTTTAAGCCTGATGACAGCACCAGCGAACATCCGCACCAGGATGACAGGGAACGGGAAGAACTTCGGTGCCCGGGACCAGGTGCTTAAAAAAAAAGCTATTTCGACCGGTGATTCAGTGGAATTTACATTGGACAATCCACTGAAATCATATGACGTATATGAACTTCATGGAGTTTTATCATTCTTTTTTTTGCTGGGAGCATCTAAAAAAAAACTCCCGAAAGCCACACTTTCCCGGGTTTTTCCGGTTTTTTTCAACAGGGTTGGACTCTTGGATGATGGACCGTCCTGATGGTGATGGACAATGATGGGCAGTTACCTCTGAAAAAAAGTGCGGATTTGATTGGATATTTTACCCTCTGGTAAACTAACATAACTATGGAAAATCACCATTTTTAATGGGAAAATCCACTATAAATGGCCATTTTCAATAGCTATGTTAAATTACCAGAGGGTAATGATGTTTTAATGGGATTCAATGGGATATATGAATATATTAATGATGGTTATCCGGCCTGGTTTTTACCTTAGAGTTTGCTGGTGGAATCCATGGCCCTAATCGAAATAGATGGTTTACCTATTAGAAATGGGTGGATTTTCTATAGCTACCCTCTGGTAATTTAATGTAGCTATTGAAAATGACCATAGAAATAGTGGATTTTCCCATTGAAAATGGTGATTTTCCATAGCTATGTTAATTTACCAGAGGCTATTTTAAATTACCAGAGGGTATAGACAATCCGTTGAAGATTGTTCTAGATTTGTAGAACATTCTTTGTAAAAGATGGATGGATTGATGATTGCTGGACCTAAGACCTAACATGGAGGTTTCTACAAATGGGGGTACCCCAATAGCTGGATGTTTTTTTTTGGAACATGCTACTGAAATGGATGATTTAGGGGTCACACCCTTTCAGGAAACCTCCGCATATTTTAAAGTGATGTCACCCGCAGATGGAGGTCATGTAATATTTTTTTTCATGAGATGCGGCCACGAATTTTTCAGCCACAAATTGAGGTTTATCATTGATCCAAAACAATCTTCGACTGCTATTGGTTCACAGCTGGCTGGTTCACTCCAGAAATTCGCTCAACTTTCCACGGAGGTTTCCTGCCTTTTTTTGGGCCAACTGGTGGAGGTTTCCAGGTTTCCTGCTGCTGGGAGTAGCCATGGTACCGATCCAACCACCACCAGGTCACCCGAAGAGTGATGCGCGCCGTGATGCAGGTCATGTGGGGACGGGATCAAATGATGTCAGCGATTGAAACGGGCTCTGAACACATGAACTTCCTCGGTACAAGTGATAAATCTGATAAACTTCCTGCTTTTAACAAAAGTTTAAAGCTAAAGTTGCGAAGGTCGTTGAAGGTCATTTCAGACCTCCGAATCAAAAGCTTGGCATAAGCTTGGCATAAGCTTCTTGGCTTGTCCATTGATTCAATGGCCCTTTTTGAACAGCCCATGAGATGGATTCCCATGCATGGGATGGATGACCATTGACCATGACCATCTCATCAGATCCCCAGGAATCCCAGGAATCCCAGGGTCCGCGTTCCCGATACCCCTTTCGGTCGCTGCTTAACCACTTGAGATTGAGGAATGAAAACATGCGCAATCGACTTACTGGTGCTTAGTAGGTCGGGAATTTTCGGGAATGATTTTGAGAATCACTAGTTTCATGTCATCATCCCAGCAACCCATCCATTCACCCATCCAGCAACCCTACTAAGCCTTAGCACCAGTAAGTCGATTGCACATGAGTTTTTCTGAACTGCCATGAACAACTGGGGCCAAACGCCAGCTGCTGCTTGCCATCACCGAAGAAGTACTGAACTTGCTTGAAACACAATAAAAAGAGACCATCAGATACCCGTTTCCGCTTGTAGAATGTGGTGAAAGAAACACACCTTGTTCATCAATGTTTCAAGTTTATCTACAAGCTCAACACCTCATTATCCAGGGCCATCAATCAGCTAAAAAGCCTGTTTTCTAGGTTTATCTAAGGACAAAATGCCAGCTAAACATAGCTAAACCGTCGTAGTTCTCATACCTCGAAAATGACAAGTTTGATGAAGGACATTTAAATGGTGAAAACTGAAACCCAGTGGGTTTAGGGGTACCCCTTTTTTGGAGACATCCACGATTTTTTTGGTTCATGAAGTTCAATCAAATATTCAGATCTTGTAATTAAGCCTAATTATAGCGACGGACATCTACTTAGAACAAATTTTGGAAAAAAAAATCGGACAAATATCACAGGGAGAAACTACTTAGAATGAAAAACCGTAAACATCCGAACCCCACTACTTAGAACAAAAACAAACACACTTAGAACAAAAACAAACCCCATTATGTAACAATTTTAGCAAACATTGCCATTCAAAACAATATGTTATAACAATTTTGGCAAACATTGCCATTCAAAATAGCATGTTTCATGATTTTTGATGTATGCTATTCCCCGGACACGATGTCTAATTTTGCAACCTAAATGTGATTTGTTCTAAGTGTGGGTTTCGCCAGCCAAATACGCACATGTACAAGTATAGACACAAACGTATAAATGCATATAGGTTCAAATGTGTATATATGTATATTTATTTATGGATAATGGCAAAATGTGATTTGTTCTAAGTGTGGGTTTCGCCACCCAAATACGCACATATACAAGTATAGATACAAACGTATAAATATATATAGGTTCAAATGTATATATATATATACATATATTTTATGGATAATGACAAAATGCAATTTGTTCTGAGTGTGGGTTTCGCCGCCTAAATACGCACATATACAAGTATAGACACAAACGTATAAATAAATATAGGTTCAAACGTGTATAAATATACATATTCTATGGATAATGACAAAATGTGATTTGTTCTAAGTGTGGGTTTCGCAAGCTAAATATGCAAATATACAAGTATAGACACAGACGTATAAATGCATATAGGTTCAAATGTGTATATGTATATATATATATATAAATAAATATGTATAACGACACAATGTGATTTGTTCTAAGAG